ATTCCCTTAGTCATCCATTCCCACTGAAAACTGCTCTTTTGAAGTTTCCAGGAGGCCTCACATGACCTTTGGTTGTCCTTTTGGTCAGAACTCTTATCTGTCTAGTGCAGCCCCACTCGCTTTTTTTTTTTTTTTTTTTTTTTTTTTTTGCTGTTCTACTCAAAAACACTTATTATGGGATAAACAAACTATGTTTGCTCATGCACGCTCCCCGTTTCCTTATCAGCTGAACAACACGCTTCTCACGCGTGTTGGGTCAAATTCACTCCTGGTCCGACTCCAAGAATTCCCAGGGAGTTGTGCCCTTTGCTCTCTTCAGTGCTCACACTTTTCACACTTTCTGAGTATGAAAAAGGCATAACCACTCTATGACAAACCATGCTGTCGTCACCAGATGCATTATTTTAGCAGAAATTTGTCTTGTAGATCTTAACTTGCTTTTATTAGCAAGACGTCCATAGCCCAGACGTCCTTGCAGACCATTACTTCCCAATTCTGCAGACATGGCTGAACTTTATATACCAGCTTATCTGTCATACAGGGAGGAGAGTTCTTCATCACTTCATATCGTATCAATCACTTGCAGATATATTTCACAGAAAGTCACCATTTAAAATATTATTTGAATGTTCCAAATATTTTTGAGAATGTAGGAGGTTTGTACTTACGCTCATGGGTAATTGAGGACATGCAATTTTGAGACCTGTTTCACCAGTAGATGCAAAGCAACCCATGGCTGAATAGTTACACACAAGTCAAGATATCTAAGTTCTGTTCTTGTTTAAACTTGGCCAAGTTGCCGTGTGATTTTTAGGCAAACCCTGTTAATCTTGTGTCTCAGTTTCCACACCTGTGGAGTGGGACTTGTAGCTTAAAAGGAGAAAGAATGATGGATTAAGGCTATTAATACTTGCCTGGTACTTGAAGAGAGCTGAATGAACATAGTATATTCCTGCAAAATATATTTATTAATGAACTGTCAGATATCTGCTGGTGTATTAGGAACCTTTCAGAGATAAGTCCTCTGATTAGACTAGTATTAAAAAAAAAAAAAAAACACCCAACCCTGCAGCAGGAGGCAGTAGACTGTTTCAGACAGGGTTCGACTTTCTGCCAGTTTAACCTTCATCTCCTTAATAGATTTCTGAATCTTAATTTAATTACAATTCCTTAAATGTTTTCTGATATCATATCTCAATCTCTCTGTTCTGTATCTTTTCATGGTTTCTTTTTTGTCATGGGACATAGGGATAGAAGATTTGTTCCGGTGTCCATTAAAATTCCCATTGCCTGCAGTGCAGGATGCTGTATAAAAGAAACAAACCTGCTTCAAGAGAAATAAGCTACTGCTGCACTCTTTTTAGAGCAACAAAAATCTTTATAAATTATTTTTGTAAGTGTTACGCCTCTCCTTCAAAGTCACAAGTCACCGTTATCAATTAATATATTTAATGGTCTCATTTTCAATTCACATGCAGGCCACACAGGATCCATGCTCATCCTGGCAGATGCTTGCAAGCTTTGTCTTCCCGAGATGAAATGTTGCCTTGTATATGATGGGGGTAGTAAAGAGGGTGATTCAGGAGCGGAAAGACGTGTTAAAGTGCAGCACCTGAGGCCGCCTTGTTTTCTGAATTTACAGTCTCAGACTGGCAGTCGTATAAATGAGTGATGCTCTGTGATGTTCTTTTCGAAGCAGGCTACAAAATTGGCAGGGAGTTTTCAGTTTTGTGCTGATGTGTCCAGAATTCAAATAATTTGATTCTTGGGTATAATGACAGTTGGAGGCACAGTATTACCTTGAGAAAAGAGATGGGAGAGACAGCTGCTGTATCCTGTATTGAATTAACAACCGATTCCCATTTACTCTCTCCACTGAAAACTCTATTATGCAGGGTTCTTATTGCCCTTATTCAAGGGCATGGAATTAAAAAGTGATATTGATGGTAATGCTCTCATCTCCCTACCGTGACATTGAATAATGGGGACAAAGAAGGGAAATCTTGAATGATGATATGCCTTTTAAAATACTGCTGATTTTGAAAACATCTAAAGGACAATGGATTTGACTATCAGCTGATGAAGTCATATTCAGATTCTTATGATTTTTTCCCTATTTCTTTATGTAATTTTTGTTGTTTTTGAAATATTTTCTTTTCCTATAATTTCAGGAGCTAGGAATATGTACTGCGAGGAATATGCTTGAGGATAAAGGTGAAGCGTTGGCTGCACTAATTCCAGAATAAATCTTTTCTCTCTTCTCCTGAGGAATAAATGTTTTAGCTGTATTTCCCTAAATTACGCAGGAAATACCTTCCGATTTGGGAGTAAAACATAGATCTTGATCTTATTAGTACAAAACCACAAGGCCTCTCTGAACTAGTGAGACCGCTACCTAATTTCAACCCCAGCATTAATGAGGCCACTTACACTCAATTTTTAGTGTAGATGATCTGAAAATATGAGTCAGATAGGAGGTGGGATCGCAGGAATAACTCTGCAGTCTGCCTGAGCCAGGTTAAAAATCGCAGCATAAGGAGATTAGGGAATAAGTGTCAAAACTTTTATCTGCAAGCATCTCGACTGATTCTGGCCACATCAATGCTATCTTCGTACTGGTATAATTCTGCGACTTCTATTACACTGTCATATTGTATGAGATCAGAATGCGGCTGAAAAGCTCCTTAATAGCAATTCTGAAAAGGCAAAACCACAATTTACTTTGTCAGAATGAATCTCATTTTATCTCCTCCCGTTTCCCTTAGCGTAGTCATAAATGTGGGCAGAACACTACCCGCTGGTTAAAATACACCACGTTCATGCCAAGATCCTTCAGCCAGCAGGTCTATCAGTGCGCTCTGTTAGTGTCCCAGGCTCCCCAGCTCACGACGTTCTCTTTGATACCAATTTGTCTCAATATGCCACTGGTAGAGGACTACAAAGAGACCGGCCTTGTAACTGATTGCTCTCTTCCTTAAAATTGCCTTGCCATGAAGTAGCAGATGCCGATGGAGTTGCACGTGCTCCTCACGCCTGCCCTGCCAGGGGTGCTGCCAAGGTGTGTGTGCCCAGGGGAGGGAGACGCGGGCAAGAAGAGGGGCTCTGCGGGAGGCCCAGCAACAGCCTGACACCCTGTGAGGGCCTGGGGGCTTTAAAGGCACTAAGTGCTGTACCCCAGAGCTGTATTTTCCGTGTTCTGGCTATGCTGGCCTGTGTATATTTTAGGGCAAGTTCTAGCAGGTGCCTGTGGCCTCCAGAGGTCAGCAAATCACTTGGGAAGAGCCGGACTGCGGGGCTGAGGCGCTGCTTCCTCCCTTCAAATGCAATCCCGTTTTGTCCCCTCGCTTCCAAGTTCAGCAGTAGTAAGAAGATTTGAAGCTTTTATTTTTTTGCCCCCAACAGTGGGTATGACAACAAAGCAAAATAAAAATAAAAATAAAAATAAAAATAAAAATAAAAATAATAAAAAGACTTCACAAAAAACATTTTAAAAGTCAGTGTTGACATCAGTCAGTACCACCACTTGCATGAGAGATCCTTTAAGTGACAAATTTACTGAAAAGAATCTCACAACTAGATATCCCTGTGTTTAGATGCTACTACTTACACTTTCGTACTGTTGGGGTTAATGGACATACCAACCATCTTCTGAGTGGACTGTCAGACTTGTTTGATTTTTTGTTACAAGCTTGTTTCTTGAATACACACTTGAACACCACATGGAATTGTAGTGACACTCTCAAAAAGGATAAAGTAGAACTGGAAAATGTACAAAGATGAAGTGTGGTGATTATCAGAGGTGTGGAACAGTTTTATACAACATGGATCTTAGGCTGTCTCATAAATGAGAGTTGGGGGGATACAATATAGGTGAGGTATAGTGCAAAGGAGGTCTCCAGAAAATGACTGGTTATTATCTCCCACAATACAATGTGCATCTAGTGAGGTTATCAGGTATCAGGTTTTAAAATAAAAACATCATGGAAATAAAATATAAAGACTATTGCTTTAGGACATTACAGAGGCTGGAAGTGTAGACCAAGAGGAACTAGGCAGACTCATGGAGACCAGGCGTCTGAATTGCTATTTAAACAGAGGTGTCTGAACTCAAGCTCAAAGGCAGTTCCCACAAGGAGCCGAGGCTTCACGAAGAGCATCTCATTCCCTGCTTGCCCTACACTTCCCTAAGCAGACACTGCTTTTCACTGCTGGCAGTATCACACCTAACACCAACTTTTGTCCAGATCAAGCATGTCTCATGTTCTTAGTATTACTATTCTGATAAGAAACTCTTTTTTAGCTTAAGCAAGGGACAACTGCCTTTGCAAAAAAGGCTCTGAATTTAATTCTCACACTAGCAAGCATTCATTGACTCTAGTTTTATTACATGGGATTCAACAATCCAGAGCTAAATCAGGACCATATACCTTTCTTGGAGACCCTAATCCTTCATGGCCTCTTCTTAGATGAGGTGGCCTCTGTCTTTTTTGTTGCAAAGGAACCCCCAAATAGTCTTCTTTGTGTGTCAGCCAGCCACAAAACATCCTCATAAACACCAAGAAGCCTCAGTGTCACACAGTACTATCTGATTTCTCATTGTAGAACTCTACAGAGCTTACTCTGACCAGTCAGTGATTTCCTATAACTGGTCTGAAACACATCCTGAAGCAAATCAAGTATGTGTCAGCTGTAGTCCAAATGTAGAAATCCTGCTACCAAAAAAAAAAAAAAAAAA